CGATTCGGTCCACAGCTGTGATGATGATTTAGCCATAATGGCGGCTTTCAGTTGTCGATGAAGACGTTCGACTAAGCCGTTGGCTGCAGGATTGTAAGCTGTAGTTTTGAAATGATTGCATCCTAATAGATGGTTCAGTTCACGAAACAAGGAACAGGTAAACTGACTCCCACGATCTGTAGTGATGCTCTCAGGGACACCAAAATAGGATACCCAAGAATCGACAAGGTGTCTGGCAACGGTTTCGGACGAACAATCGCGCATGGGGGTCGCTTGAGGCCAGCGTGTGAAGCGATCGACTATTGTTAACACATAGGAACATTCGTTGGATGGTGGAAGTGGTCCAACGATGTCTACATGTATATGCTGGAAACGGCGTGTAGGCAAGTTGAAACTTCCGGGTGGCGTAACCGTGTGTTTATGGACTTTACTCAGTTGACAGGTTTTGCACTGTTTTGCCCATTGTCGGATCTCTTTCTGCATACCAGGCCACAAGAAACGTTCACAAATTAATCGAGCAGTGGAACGGATACTCGGGTGTGAAATGGAGTGGAAATGCATGAAGACTGACCGACGATATTTCTGAGGCACAAATGGACGAGGTTTACCAGTGGACATGTCACACAGAACTTTAGAATCACAGTTTAAGAGCGGCATATTAACGAACTTCAGGGAAGGATGTGATCTAAGCTCTTGTAATTCTTCGTCCTGCTTTTGGCTCTCAGCTATTAATTGCAGATCGAACGGAGCGTGTACCAAGTGGTTTATATGGGCACGGGATAAGGCATCTGCAACTAAATTGCTGCGACCACTAATATGCCGGATGTCACTAGTGAATTGGCTGATATAATCCAACTGCCTAGTTTCCCTCGGTGAATAACGATCAGATGTCGCGTTGAGTGCAAAAGTGAGCGGCTTATGATCTGTGAGAATCACGAAGTGTCGGCTTTCCAAAATATGTCGGAAGTGCCGAACAGCTAAGTAGATTGCGAGAAGTTCACGGCCAAAAGTGCTATATCGAGTCTGTGCAGGTTGTAAGCGATGCGAGAAGAATGATAAAGGCTGTATTTCACCGTTGACCTCCTGTTGTAGAACCGCACCAACTGCAGTTTGTGAGGCATCAGTAACCAGGAAAAGAGGTGTAGACGGATCAGGATTTATATGTGCCAAATTGGTTGTCTGATTTAACACTTCCTTAACCGTTTCAAATGACGCAATGGCCTCCGCTGTAAGGGTGAAATTGCGCGTTTTCAGTCTGAGTAGGTCGGTGAGCGGTTGGACAACCTCGGCACAGTTAGGGATAAAGCGACGGTAGTAATTGATAAGGCCAAGGAAACGTCTCAACTTCTTAATGCTGTTGGGAGCTGGAAAGTCGCAAATGGCGGAAACTTTAGATGGCAGAGTACGGATGCCGTCTGAGTCAACAATATGTCCTAGAATTTCTAGTGACGAAACACCAAATTGGCATTTACTACTATTGATGACTATACCATATTGCTGAAATCTTTCAAAAACTTGCTTTAAGTGAAGCACATGCTCGTCTTCTGACCGACTGGCGATAAGTACATCGTCGATATAAGCGTAGACAAAGTCTAATCCCCGTAAAACTTGATCCATGAATCGTTGAAATGTTTGAGCTGCATTTCTGAGCCCAAATGGCATACGAACGAATTCATATAGACCGAATGGAGTGGTGATAGCCGTTTTGGAAATATCGTCTGGAGCGACAGGTATCTGGTGATATGCTCTGACGAGGTCTAATTTACTGAAGACAGATTTGCCGTGAAGAGTAAGGGCAAAATCATGCAGATGCGGAATTGGGTATTTGTCCGGGATGGTGACACGATTTAGTGCACGATAATCGCCACATGGTCTCCAATCTCCCTCGGACTTTTTGGGGACCATATGCAGTGGAGATGACCAGGGGCTGCTTGATGGTCGTATGATACCCAGTTGAAGCAAATGCTGAAATTCTGTCTTGGCTATGGCAAGCTTCTCCGGAGCTAACCTCCGTGGACGGGATGCGGTGGGTGGGCCTTTTGTCGAGATATGGTGGAAAACGTCATGTTTTACGGAAGTGGTCTTGGAAGCAGGTTTCAGGATCTCTGGGAATTGGCGAAGCAGTGCTGTGTAACGGTTATCCGGCAAAGCTGGGCGGATTCCAATAGAATTAATGGATGAAGCTTTGCCATTTATGGAGAGAGTTGTCGAATTGTCAAGCAACTGCCGTCTGTGGAGATCAACCGTGAGACCAAATGACGTGAGAAAGTCCATACCAATAATGGGTTTTTTAACGTCGGCCACTGTGAAAACCCAAGGGAACTGACGACGAAGACCTAGATCGAGAGTAAGAAGCTTTTCACCATAGGTCTTAATGCTCGTACCGTTGGCTGCCTGCAGAGTATATGCCACCGGCCGTAGGTTATGCTTGCGTGTAGGAGGAATTACACTAACCTCAGCACCGGTATCAATGAGGAAACTCAAGGACGTGGAGCGGTCATATACGAAGAACAGGCGACAGGTAGAGGAGCCGGGTGCAGTGGTCGCCATTACTGGCCGGCCATGGCGTTTCCCGAATTCGAAGGCTTTGTGGGGAAAGTGCAAGGTCTGGTGCATCGGATAGCGCGGTCACCGAAGCGACGGTGGTAGTAGCACCAGCCAGGTTGGTCACTGTGCTTGGGAGCACGACTGTGGGATCGAGACCTAGAACGTCTATGTTGTTGGGGGCGACCAATGAGTTTCGTGACTTCATTCAGTTGGAGGGATAACTCAGTAAATTGAGCTTTCATTGCACTGAACTCGACCTCCAGGTTAGATTGCGAAGTGGATTGTTGCTGAACGTTAGAGACCACGAACTGTCTACAGGTTTCATGGACGCGGTCAGCCACCTCAGCTAACTTCGCTAAGGAAGAATCCTGCTCGATGACGGAAATGACTTTACGGACTTCGATGGGCAGGCTTTGTTGCCAAAGTTCTTTCAAAACCGCATCGTTGACCGGATGCTTACCTTGCAGGTGCATCATGTGGCGGAGATGTTGTGACGGTGTTTTATCGCCGACGTCAACACCGGAGAGAAGCTTCCGTAGATTCTGCTCATCGCTGGAAGCGGTACGAGAAATGATAGCTGCTTTGAGAGCATCGTACGGATCGGTGGACGGTCGGGTGTATATTAAATCAGAGACTTCTCGGGCAACGAAGTCTGGTAAGCATCCTACCACATAATTGTATCTGCTACTCTGCGAGGTAATGCGACGGGATTCGAAAATGGCCTCAAGTTGGGCGAACCATAGCCTCGGATCACGTGCACCGAATTCAGGTAACTTAATGTAAACCACGTTGTCTATTTCGGGTGTCTGTGTCTGTTCAGAAGCCATGCTGACGTGGAAAATAAATACAATAAAGCACGGGAGTACTGCAGAGAAGAAAAAAACTAAGGAATGATTCGGGCTCACCAAGTATGTAGCGGACTAGGACCTAACCAGCGTGTTCGGATAAATTAACAAGCAAAAGTAACCAATGCAAAATCACAAAAATCACAATAGGAAAGGAATGAGTAGTCAAATGGGGACTCACGAGTGCGTAGGTTCAGTAGTCCACTACACCGATCTGAATGCAGTAACTGGCTGTGAGAGGAAAATATTCACTCGTCGAGATTTCCTGCAGATGGCTCCGTGTGAGTGAAATATTCCACGGTAGGAAAATTATTCACGGCTAAAAAGTGTCACAGGGATTTATTGTGACGTTTAACAGTTGACACAAACACAGAGATTTAGTCCCACTGGTTCAACAGTCAACAAACAGTTCAACGGGCGTAAATACAGTCGTTCAGCAAGAAGTCAGCAGGTCGCGCCGGAAAATTGTGTATTCGTAACATTAAAACAAACGTCATGATACAATGTGAACGACAGTTACAAAGTGTGGTTCAAGTTCAGGAAGAACGGTAAATGTGACAACGGATTACAGACACTACAAACTGGACATTTGTGTTTCTGGGAATCTCGATTCCAACTTAACTACATATCCGATGCGTTTCGTGTTCGGTACTTCGAGTTGCTTTCATCTCGACTAATCATGCTTTCATGCTGTATATGTCTGTTAGTAGTAGTGTGTTATGTAGAAACGTGCTAATGGTTGAAGTGCGAAAGAAGCAGGTCAACTTCCTCCAGATTTGAACCGCAAACAAGCCGGTTTCCGCACTCAAGCTTATCTGACTAGGCCATCAAGCCACGAGCACTCAGTGATGAAAACACCCGTTATGTGGCCAAGTCGTAGGCTAAACTGTCGTATGTTTGGGTATGTGTCATGTGATTCAGTGTAGCTAAACATTTGCTGGAGTTTGACTTGTGTACGAATTGACTACTGATGTCGTGACTCACGTGAAAGCGTGAATTGCTTACGAAAGCTAAAAGAAGTTAGTGCAATTGTTAGAGACCACATGGTACTGGTGGTCGAAAAATGCGCAGCAATGCTACTCTTGTGACTTGATTTTGTCTCGCGCTTTCCGTTTGACTAGACGGATGCTGATACCTGTGTTTTCGGACCTGAGGAACATCTGCCGTGATTCGTCGTCTCTATAGACACATTCATTGTATTCGGATAACTCATACTAAGCTTGATGAAGGTAAGGCTTTTAGGTGTTATTGACCAATGCCTGTAGGTCAATTTTTTTGATTCACTGCTTGATATCACCGGGGAAGTATTCAGGTACTTTTTTCTGGCAGCAAAGTTCTCCATTGGAAATGGTGAAACACGCCGGACCTTCCATAGCCGGCTGATAGCTTTTGACTAGAGACTAAATGGTAAGCTGCTGATCATAACGCCTACCATAAAGTCACCACCTAAATGAAGCAAGCCGTCGTTGCTTGCACAATACAGCGATGAAAACCAATCTGACGCACAGGATCGACATTTGACCGGGGGTTCGCAATACCTGATAGATTGGCTGGAAGTAACCAGCCTATGACAAAACAGAAAATGTGGTAATACGAGTTCCTTACCAAATGAAACTAGATCGCATATTAAAAGATTACACTAACAAGCCACCGTCCATTTGTCAAATGCTGACGTGTACGACCAATGTGGATGATGATGCAGATCAAAAGTGGACAGTACCAAACCGCTACAAACAAGAAATTCTCGGGAACAATTGCGCCGAGAAATTAGTTTTTGATGTGAACCTTCATCATATATCATCCCAAGATCAAAATGGAAATGACCTCGCAAGAGTCGTGATCACATCTTAGGCCTGTAGTGGACAAGGATCTATGTATGCGTGTACAGCTGAAACACAAGGAGTTATTGTGACGTTCAACAGTTCACACGAACACAATAATCCAATCTCACGACTTCAGCAAACAGCAATCAGCTCAGCTCAATGCAATTCCACTGACTCAGCAAAAGGCAGGGAAGTCGCGCCAAAAAAACTGTATATTTTTCCATTTTCGATTTAATGTAATTATTGGTACAATAAAACAAGATGTCATGATACGTGTACAGTGTTTACAAATTGCAATTCAAGTTTATATGAAGAGAGTAGAAAATGGGGAAAATGTAACATTGATTTGCAAAACACCACAGTACTCCCCCCTAGAGCGTTAGGAATGATAAGGGAATGACGCTCGATAGTGGTAAAAATGTTTTATGGGGTGTAGTCTGCAAAACGAACGGGGGTCTTGCTTGTACGACCAGTACGGGTGTGCTTCAGAATAGGCAACGGGTGTTCGTCGGCAGGCTGGGATACTGGGTCAGGTTTTTTTGGGATCACTGTACAGGACGATTGGGGTCGTGTATGACTGTCGACTTGAGCAGGTGGGTCGGGGTTCGAATCATCTACATATGCGACTTTCAATCTGTCGATACTCACGGAATCTGGTTTGCCGTTCTTCTCAATCGTAAAGTATTTGTCCTTCCGAGAAATGACTTTAAACGGACCATCGTAAGGATACTGTAATGGTCGTTTGACGCTGTCAACTCGGACAAAAACATGTGTGCATGAAGATAAACCAGGATTCACTTGCGTGAGTCGACTTGACTTGCGAGTATCCGCTGGACGTATGGTTCGCATATGATCCTGCAGTCGTGAAACATACGTTGATGGTGAGAAATCATCAATCGACATCGAGGCAGCAACCATGTCTCCAGGGAGACGCAACGTTTGTCCGTAGACTAGTTCAGCTGGAGTGTATCCGATATCCTCTTTTACGGTGTTTCGTATTCCGAGAAGTATTACTGGAATTGCTTCAGACCAAACCTGGGATGACGACTTGGCCATTATCGCGGCTTTGAGTTGTCGATGGAGGCGTCCGACTAAACCGTTGGCTGCAGGGTGATATGCTGTGGTTTTGAAGAGATTGCATCCCAATAGTTGGTTGAGATCACGGAATAAGGAACAGGTAAATTGACTTCCGCGGTCAGTTGTAATATTCTCCGGAACACCAAATAGGGATATCCAGGAATCAACGAACGTTCGGGCTACCGTTTCAGATGAGCAGTCTCGCATTGGGGTTGCTTGCGGCCATCGTGTGAAACGATCAACAACGGTCAATACATACGAGCAATCGTTGGACTGTGGTAATGAACCAACGATATCCACATGCACATGCTGGAAGCGACCTGAAGGAAGGCTGAAGTTTCCGTGGGGCGTAAGTGTGTGCTTTGTGACTTTGCTCATTTGGCATGTCTTACACTGTTTGGCCCATTGGCGAATTTCCTTCTGCATACCAGGCCACAAAAAACGTTCACAAATTAAACGGGTTGTGGATCGGATGCTCGGGTGTGAAATGGAGTGAAAATGCAAAACACCACAGGCCAAAGCACTGGAGGCATAAATGTTAATGTGTGCAAAAATTAAGAGAGGAGATTAATTAAAATGAATTCTGATAATATTGAGGCAGACCATGATGACTTCTGGTTTGAGTACACGTAGAGCGAAATGAAACATTTTAAGCGAATTTTTTTTATTCACCAACAAATGCTCTGAAAGAAGGCATCTCCCGGCTAATCATTGGCTGTTGCAGTCATCAACTGTGCGATTCCGCTCCACAGCACCAGAAGAAAGTTTTCTATTGATTGAGCACTTCAGAAAAATTGACCCGGATAGTTCGGGCGTGGCTCAAGTTACGCTCATTTACTCAATGTCTTTTACTTAATTACAGCGATCGAAGGCTCTTCAAAACGTTGGCTTATCTGCGTAATAAAACATTACTTGCAGAAAATGAATAATGGATGTGAGACGCAAAACAGGTGCAATCAGACCTGTTGCGTCTAAGCAGATCTTCTTAAATACCCGGCTGTACAATTGAGGGCAGACGAGTGGTTCGGAATGTGAGGATGGGAAACGGAAAGGATGTGAATGGTTTCAGTGATACAGAGCATTACTTTGGCGCCACACCAAAGAACTTTGCGGGAGTCTGTTGCGCCCATTTTTGTGAGGTCAGTACAAACTCCACTAATAACCGGAAAAAAGCATTGTTGAACTTGCAGCGATTACTTTACTTCTGCAACCACAGAGTCTACTGATGAATTCACAGGAGCTAATCAGCGTTTAGCTCAGGATTTCGATTTCGGGTGAAAACGTTCGCTAACTCTTCAGGGAAATCAACACCCACTCCAGGCCCGTCAATCAATTTTTTAGGTTGAAGGTATCTCACTTGTCTTTGACTGCGATTAAAGCATGGGGTTAAAGGATTGTTATTTATTTTGAGCAGGACGAGGAGACCACACAGGGGGCTGGTCAAATTAGATACATTCACGAAAGGACAGAGTTAGGAACTGCAGATCCGTGTTTGGTTTGCATGTATCATTATCTATTAAACTTGGGCCGCCTGAAGCTCGCTTTTGAGGTTTCCAAAACCTGATTATGAGGCCTGTATGCCAGCTCTCATGTTGGGGATTGGGATTCGTTCACCATAGAGTAGCTGTACAGCCCCCACACCAACTTGGTGATACTCCGCTAGCTGGCTTTGCAGTTGTCTGATCACCCGGAGCCTGAACAAAGCTCTCTGCGTGGGACATGATGCATGTGGATAGTGGTGAAGCAGCGTTAATTGACCATAACGTGCTGCGGACGAAACCCAGTAAATTGCTCTCCGCATTAGAAAAGTCAACAATAACGGAATTGCCCAGGCCTCGTTGAAAAACGACATTCTAGACTTGCTTCGCGTAACGGTCTGCAAGCGATGACAACCAGGCAAGTACCTTCATGAGAGAAAGAACGTGGCACTTTTTGGCACTAAAGTGCGCATGGTTATCTACGGAAAATTGTTAGGCCACACTGTGGTCTTCCTAAACGTTGCTGGGTCAACTGGATCCCATCTCACTTCTCGGCATCGCGAGAAAATAATTTACACGTTGATGATGGGTTGATGGGCAAATCGTTTTTGAAGGCAAGGAACAGTGCGTGGGGTGGCACTGAAATCAGTAATATGCCAAAGAGAATGGGCCTGTGATCTCGCACTGTTCCACTAGTTTCAATTTTTTACTTCTGGCTAAGACACGTTTCTAAGAATCGTACTGGCAAGTCCAGAACCTCACAGACGACCAGCTCTGTCTGTAGGATATTGTGTGGTGTCGACTCAAAGGACTTTGTGTTCAGGTAAATTAATTCTGCTCCGATTTCCCCATCGAAGCCTCCGGTCTAGCTGTCTCGCCTGAGAATGATATTTATGAGGTTACGTTTCGTCATCCAGTTGTCCGTTTTACTACGTACGTCTATATTAGGTTTACTGGGGACAACAGAAATTTCGGCATCTGATTTGATGTTTTCATGGGAAGTACATCCATCAGGATGCTGTCCGCAAACGACTAACTTCCGACTAATGGTTAACCCCAAGAAGCAAGCCACCTAACGTCGGACGGTGAGGCAGTCGGGCGGGATATTTGTTGTTCAAGAGCATCCAAGCATAATCACAGTTCCACTGGTAAGAAACCATTGATGTTCGGTGCTAATCCACAAAAGACACTCGTCGTTGTCATTGGAGCCGAAGCCTAAGCTAGAGGCAGCATTCATATGTGACCTCGTTAGGATAAAGCAATCTACTCGAGTGTTGAATTCTCTAGTCTCATTACCAGTATAAAGGAATACATTATAATGGACAGGAACGTTGTTTGTTTATGAAAAATGTCCTCACTTTTTAAGTGCACGATGTCTGTCAGTTTGATTGATTTATACGTAAGTATTGGTCATGTACAATCGTGCTTACCGGGATTCGCTCATGAGTTTTTCCCCTGTTTTCAATCCACAGAAACTATCGTGAACACCTACATTCGGAGAAAAACTGTCCTCTAGTTGTTCCACAGCATACTACATATTTGGCGACCATGCGTGGATGGTTACCACACAGTGGTGGACCTTGCACAAGGATCCTGGCTCTAAACATGTTCATACGGGACTCAGAACTAAAACGTTGCTTAATCACAAACGGCAGACGCAGCCCCAGACATAGCAATCTCTGCATGCGGTCATCAGCCTCATGAACCACACTACTAGCACCGACCGGTTTACGTGGGTCATGGTAAACCAGGGACGGTGTTTTTCAGATGGGGGCTAGTGTAGTTCATGGTGCCTACCAGTTTGATTGATTTATATGTAAGTATTGGTAATGTACCACCTTGCTTACCGGGTTCGCTCATGAGCTTTCTTCCTGTCCTCCATCCAAAGAAATTGCTTTGAACACCTGCCTTCGGAGAATTACTAATCGCTGGTGCTTCCATAGTGTGCATACTACATCTTGAATTGGTACCACAAGCTGTGTGCCTAAGCGAGCATGCTAAACAGCTAGCGAGATTAGCATGTCGGTCATTGACGGTTCTTATAAATGTAGTTATTTATCACATGGATGTCTAATCCAACAAGAAAGTTCTCAGTTGTGGATCAACAGCAACAAAAACATTTCTCTGCAGCATCCACACATTCATTCCAATTTTTCTACCACTAGGCTTCAAACGGTGAAATTTCCATAAACGCAACTGCTGCAATTGGATCTCGTATTCGGGTTCCGTAAGTGTAGTAAACGTCTATTGTTAAAGTGGTATGTAGCAGTAGCATGTAGTAAAAACCCGCTGGCACTGTTGCTTAGGATTTTGTGTCATGAGAACAACGATAAACACAGGAGAGGAACTCTTGGATAGAGGGCCGAAAGCGGGACATTTGGTTGCGTGAATCTAAATGTAATAACTGGTTAACATTATTAGTTTACTACAGTTGTCCACCAAAATCCAGTTAATAGTAGCTCTGCGGGTGGTT